AATCTAAATTTAAATTCATTAATAAATTTCATAAAAATAAGCATTTGTAAATAAAATGATAAATCAGATATAAACTCTAATTAAATGGAAAAAAAAAAACATGTAAAATGATGGTAAGTGAAAACATACCCATGCCGTCTTTCTGTATTGGTATGACCGAGGGATCAATGTTGCCCTTGTAGGCAATCGGTGTCTTGAGCACGAGTCCAGGCCGATTTACTGGCTCAATTTTGCGCGTCTTGCGCTGGGCACGCATCGAGGAGCTGGACCCAGACCCAGACCCGCTGTTACCAGCCTTACAGCTGCCGGAGGCAATACTGTACGGACGCATTGCTTTTGGCGTGGGTGTGGCTGTTGCCTCCTCGCCGGCAATTAGGATGTTTGCAAAGCCATTGCCACTACCAGATGCTGCTGACATGCCGGCCAGGGATGTGCCGGCTTGATTTATCATCGCATGCGTGGTGCCCAGCAGCTTGTGATGCAGCAGGCCATCGGCAAGCGGCACAAGCATATCATGATTCGGCATGTTGGTCATGCACGACGACGATGACTGTGAGATATCCTTATCCGACGAGGTCATAAAATCTGTGCCATCATACGAATTGTTATCCTCGTTCATCATTACAAAATCATCAATGTTTATGATCTCCTGCTTGGGCTCTAGATCGGACATGCCGCCACTGGCAGCGCCATCATCATAGCCATCCTCCAATTGGCCATAGACCTGCTGCTCATCATCAACGGCCGCCGAACCGACGCCCATCAGTGCCACACCGGCATTGTTGCCATCATCGCCATCCATGACTTCGGCATAGTTTTGAAAGACGGTCGCTGCAGCAGATTGCTGCAGCAATTGTTGTTGCAGTCCACCCATATGCGCAAAGCCGTAAAGATTATTTGTATTTGTGGCAATTAGCGTTCCCGGCTGTACGCCCAATGCGGCAGCGGCTGCTGCTGCCTGTCCCGTAAAGTCCCCCCCAACAATGCTCATCATTGGACTCATATCCTTTTTGTGGTATGGGTGAAGAGTTGGAGGTGTTTATCATGTTGTTGTTGTTGTTTGTGTTTGGGTTTGTGTTGAGTTGGTTTTATTTTATTGATAGGCAGTTGAATACAGTTGACAGTTGAATGGATACGGATACAACGTAACCAATACATAAATCATAGAAAAGAAAGTAGAAGGAAATAAGTAAACGAATTCCAATTTTCAACTAAAGCATAAACAGATGATATTGCATATACATATATGATGGGTGTTTCTGTGATACCTGACTTAAGCTAAGTCTCATACCTTTCCACCTGTTGATGTCAATAATGATTTCAATAGGAATTTCAATATTTAACATAACTAGCTAAAAATCGTGTATGTGCTTTAATCCACTAGGATTCAAGCTGATTATTTCCGGAAATTCGATATAAACCTAAGCTTCAAAATCCAAATTCACATAGTCTGTTACAATTAATTAGGGATTATATATAATAATAATAATATTATGGCTTCAAGACTTGATTTACATAGCATTAAAAATTAATAGATCATAAGGCTAAATATTTTATTTTATTTCAGTTAAAATATTTTCAAAAACAAGGGAACAATGGTCCCATTAGGACTTACCAAAGTGGGCTGATGTGTCATATCCTCCATAACGGATAGGCCAACAGTTGAATGACCCAATAGAGTTGCAGCATCCTCCAATGTAATGCGCTCTGAGTTGTATTGGCTGCTCATCCACATCATCCGCAGCTCAGCCGGATTCATTGTTTATATTTTTGCTTCTTGATAGTTGTTGAATTTGTTGTTGTGACTTTAGTATATTAGTTGTTTACTATTCAGACAAATTGTAGCGTCTTTTGTTGTGGCATTTGTGAAGCGGCGATTTTGGCTGCAATGGGAAATACACACACAAACACATATAAACAGAGTCCTGCACTTGCTGACCATATGGACCGTCATCGGCGCCTGTTTTTTCGTATTTCTCTTCTTTTTCTGTTTTCTTTTTTTTTAGTTCCGCTTCTGTTTGTTTCCCCTCTTTACGCTTTCCACGAAATCGTAATTTAAATGCAGCTGCTAGCAAAACGCTCTAACGATTTTCGATTGGAATAAAATCATCAACAAAATCACTTGTGGACAATTGCAAATGAGTTCGGTTTACAAAAACCGAAATATTTTAGGTAGTTTTGGTCATTTTTATGCTTTACACTCGCTCGAAAAGTCAATGAAGCGCACCGTGCGACCAGACGACGAACGAACGAACACAAAAGAAAACTAACAAATCGTCCTCACGCATCAGAAAACTTACATTTTTAGCACACCCAATATGCAGTTTATTTATGTGAATCTGTATGATCACATTTGTTGCTATTTACTTAAACGCGTTTAATAAATTTGTTGCAATAAACCAATTTTTGGCATTCTTTTACGCGCAAATTTAATGCTAGTTTTGCGATGATTGGTGATGCGCAAACGCAACTTAGCCGATAGTTAGTGATATTTAATTGTTGATTTGTGAATCGCGTGGATTAAGCAGTGCTGTAAAACTTGTACATTTTTTTAATAGCTGAAGGCGTCGATAAATAAAAGGAATAAGAAGAATAGCATAAAAGTATGTTGTTGGTGTACCAAAGTTAAGTATTCTCCACAAATTATTAAACTACTGAAATAAAAGCAGCTGTGTGGATAAGCACACATTATCTTAGTGGTACTTCTAAATATAAGTTTATCGATATACTATACTTGTATAATTCGAAATTATCAAACACTAGTATAGAGAAAACAATGAAAACGCAAATAAATAAATAGCCAAACAATAACAGGCGCAATATATAGATAGATATATATAACATCAATGTAAACATAAGAAAATGCCCGAAAATGCATTGCCTGAAACGATTCGTGCCACTTTGGGTGGGTGCACATTTGGTCAACGCAGAGAGGATATTTTTCGACGATTACAGCAAACTGCGCAACAAACAAGTGAAACTTACAGTGGAAAACGCGAGCTAGCCACGGAAAAGGATGATGTTGTACAGGAATTGTGTGAGGCATTGGAGGAAACACTTTCGTATGGCTTACGGCAAACGTTAAATGTTACACTGACGGCCGCAAGCATCTTTCAAAATATGCATGAGATCGTAACAGGTGGCAGTGGCAGCAGCACCAGCAACAACAATGAAACGACTTTCTGGGACTTCTGTGAAACGCAGTTGACACCACACGAAAAACAGCGTTACGAGAGACTCAAGCAGATCTGGACGAAACATGGACGTGGCCGCGCTTTCATACGCGCTACACTCAACGAAAAGCGTCTAATGAGTCATGTTCTTACTTGGCTCAATGACGAGGCGCAACTGCAGCGTTTCTATACGCCCTGGTCGCTGTTGCTTAATGAGGAGGTAGCCAAAAAATTGCCCGAGATACTAGACAGTCTCAATGATGTGCTCTTTGCTCTTAACGTTGAAAATCCCGAACTTAATGCACCCAAACGTTGTTCCGTGCCTGTTGGCATTGTCAAGGAGGAGCCAATCATATATGCACCACAGCCCGTACCTGTGGCGGCACGCAAGAAGGGACGTTTAGCAAATGCTGTGAAGCGGCCGATTGTATGTGCCAGCTCAACAGAGGACCTACTGGGGGCATTTAGTCCTCGAGAAATGCTTGAAGTTCAGCAAATTACGGCGAGAGATGCAGTTGAGCAGGAATTAAAGCAGGCAATGCCAATAGAACCCATTTGTAAAGCGCCATGTGATCCAATAGAACCGGAATTGGAATTTCTGAAAACTCCACTACCCGATGTACCGTCAATTGGCCAAGATGAGGAGCTTGTACAAGAATCTCAGGAACTGTTTGAAGATCACAGTGATACTTCCTCGCAGTGGAGCAAATCCTCGTCGTCAGGCAATGGCGCTAACAGTCAGCAGACCATGCAACTGGCGGAGCAGGTAACGCAACTAACCGAACGCTGTGCACTACTGGAAACACGGGTGGCTGAGTTGAAGTTAGAAAATCGACAACTGATACGTCGTCTCACCAAACAGTTCAACGAAACAGGCATCGATCCCTCATCGTCGTTCTGCTCCAACTTTCTGATTACCATTCCACATGTAAAACTTGTTAATACACCACGCTCGGGGTCGCATTATGTTTACGAGATGCATATTACAATGCGCCAGCGGCTAGAGCATTGGACACTGTTTCGTCGTTATAGTGAATTCAACAAGCTACATAAATCGTTGCTACGCACGCATCCCAACATAATCAGCTCCATCGAGTTTCCGCCCAAAAAACATTTTGGCAACATGAATCTTGTCTTTGTTGAGGAACGTCGACAACAGTTACAAATCTACATGCTGAATGTTATTGAGGCACTTCCACAGGTGGAGGCGTGCAAGTCGAAGTCGGAATTACAAAAAGTGTTCCCATTCTTTCGCGAGCGATAGCATCAGTATCCTGGCAACAAAGCCAAATACAACTTTGGACCAACAACAACTTAAAAACAATAGTATTTTCTCTCGTTAAGTTAATTCTGTTATATTTATTGCAATGTTTATTTACATGTATAAAATTGGAGTTGAGTGTCTGAACGGTTACAAAATGATATTAAATAAAATTTTAAAAATTATTTAAGAAACCATAAAGTTGTTAATCCTAATATTTTTTTCAATTCCACTAAATTTATTTTATTTACAAACGCATTTAACAGCAAATTATTTTATTTATCGACTGCGGATGCCCCGCTTTATTGTTAGAATTTCCAAGACAGTAAAGTACTCGTATATCCGATGACATATCGATATATTTTTAACTATTTATATTTTCAATCGATAGCGTTTAAATAGGGTGATTACCATTTGCTGGGCCGCTTGGCACCAATAGGAACAGCTGTATTTGTTATTATCTGTTGTCGTAATATTGCGTGTACATTTGTGCCCAGCTTTTCATCACCTTAGGAGAGAATGATTCTCTGAGTGTTGATCTTTCGCTTTTCGTGCGTTCGAAGTCTGCGCATTCAAACCCATATATTAAGCTGGTGTCATACAAGTCTGTTCAATTGATTTGCCTGCAGTTCTAATCTAATTAGTGCAAGTGCAACATGTCTACGACAGCAATAGCGATCATCGGCTCCATATCTGTGGGTGCGTACCTCATGACGGTACGCATGATACCCCGTCTCCGTGAAATGTTCATAAAAGCGAATTTGTGCGGCCGAGATCTGTGCAAAAAGGACAAGCCACAGGTGTAAGTAATGCTGATAGTCCTGTTCATATACTCTTAATTAATAGTACTGTATGATTTTTGCTCAGTCCCGAGTCCTATGGCGTGATTATTGGATGCGTTTTCTTGATCTCAATGTTTCTCTTTATACCCATACCATTTACATTTGATAAAGATGCCGCCACGGATGCAGTTACTGGCGGTAAGCCGGTCACGTTTCCCCACGATAAGGTGATTTACGATGAGTCAATTCAACGAAGACAAACATATTACTTTATGGTTATCTTCCGAAACAGTTTGTGGAACTAATTGCCGCTTTGTTATCAATATGCTGTATGATATTTCTTGGCTTTGCCGACGATGTACTCGACCTACGCTGGCGGCACAAACTTCTGCTGCCCACTATAGCGACATTGCCTCTGTTAATGGTCTATTATGTCAACTATAATTCCACGACGGTCATGATGCCCAACTTTGCACGCGGACTTTTTGGTACATCAGTTAATATTGGTAAGGATTTGGTTACCTACATATGTATGCATATATGTTCTTCATTGTATATTACAGGCATATTTTATTACATATTCATGGGCAGTCTGGCTGTATTCTGTACAAATGCTATTAATATACTCGCTGGCATCAATGGCCTGGAGGTGGGTCAATCAATTATCATTGCCGGCTCAGTATTGGTATTCAATCTAATGGAACTTAGTCTGGGTCATCAGGTGGAATCACATCAATTTTCTCTCTACTTTATGATACCTTTTTTTGCTACATCTTTAGCTCTATGGAAATTCAATAGGTAAGTGAGCAATGTAATCAAAAAGATTTTTCTAAATAATTTAGTATACATTAGAAAAGCACTTTAAATATTTATTCAATCAAATTTGATTTATTTCATAAATTAGCTGAAATTAAATTTGCTTATAACATTTATCAATATATATATGTATATTTAAAAACAAACGAAATGATCCATATTATGAATCCGCATACTTAAATTACATACTTTTAACTTAATTCACAACAGCAAATTCCATGAAATATGAGAATCGTTTTTAAATTCATTTCTAGTTTAGTTCCTTATCACAGATCTGTCTGTCTGTCGGCGCTGTCTGCCTGCTGAGATACTAAATTTTGAATCATTTTTATGAAAAATCAGACGATGTACATATTGTATATTAATATTTATAATGATGGCGATATGTTTGATATGAAGAAACAAAATCATATAAGTTCGATTGATGTTTTGGAAAGCAGGCACATATATCTTTATATATATATATATATATATATATATATATATATATATATAGCCGAATAGGATAATGGAGGTTTCTTAGTCTTAGTCTTCGTCCTCCTGCACATCGTCCAGTGTATTCGTATCATACAAATTGACCAGAAATTGTCCAAATTGACTGCTATAAAGCAGCGCCGTCGGTGGCGCATAATATTTCTCACTTTGTTGCCGCAAACGCTGCAACGTTGTGTGGCCATCCAGCAGGATGCCAGCTCCAATCAGCTGCTGTATGTAGTCGGCATCGATGCGGGAGCTTCTCGTTTCGTTGGGCATTCGTATATGTGGGCTATTCCCAGTTTCTTTGGCTGTCAGCATTTGAACAATCTGTTCAGGCGGCATGCAAAGCTCACAGCTCCAGCCGCCAAAATGATTGAGGTCGCCCAGCGTATAGGTCGCCTGTCGCTCCAGCCTTTGCGGATCCAATTGGGCGTTGTGCAGATGCACTAGGGAACTGATGACACCATCCAAGCGTGCCAGCTGCGGATGCTGCCAGTAGAACCCGTAGACGTTGTGCTTCACCCTAAAGCGCAAGGGCAGCACATCAGTTGCAAAGTATTTGAGATATTTCAAGGCTGCCGGCGCATAAACAGTTCCCCCATTGCCATACAACAGCAAATCCGTGGGCTGCATTTGCACCCCGCATCGGGCCCATAGCTGGTGACGAAAGTAGCTGTAGGTCGCTGCTCCGCTGCAGTTTCCAGGGTTCTGTCCCCCTTCACACTGATAAAGCAGGTAGCTGGGAATAGGTATCGCGTCCAATTGGCGCTCGAGCGTGCGCCGTTTCAGTCTATCCTTGCTGTCCCTGACATAATAATAAATGAGAAATATATCCACAACCTTGATAAGTGTGCGCAGCTGCAGTTCCAGCAGCTCCATATTTATATGCTCCCAGGCACCTAAGTTAAGTATATAGTAAAGGCGTTTCAATGACGTACTGCTCGCCTCATGCAGCTTCAATGGCGCCTCGTTGCCGCCTCGCTTGCTGGCCCGACTGTGCGTCATCAGGGCTCGCCATATAATCTCCGGCTGTCCGCAGTCACGTCCATGCCAGCCGCTGGCACACAGGCACTGTGGCTGTGCCAGCAAATAGTCTACGCTGTTACGTCCTTGGCGGGATTCGTTTAGCGTGCCCTCACTGTAGCACCATAGAGTGGGAGCCAAGTCCATGTCCATGTAAGCCGGCATAGCATAATCTGCAGAGCGATTCATTCGATCGATTTTCATTTGAAAGAAATCCTGTTGATATCGATTTATGTTCTCGCTCCGCTGACAATGGGATGAGGCAAGAGACTTCTTGGCTTGCCTGGCCTGCTGTACGAAATGCACACGCCCCACATCTAGCTCCAATCTGTTTTTGTTACTAGTGGATTGTAGTTGGAGCTGATTGTGATTGCTCTGTAACAGCCAAATGCAGGCAATAAAGCACACCTGCACCAGCACCACAGACCACAATACAAGCCTTTTGGTATTCGCCAGACGGCCGCCGGCTGTTAAATTCTGAGCCGCGCTCCTGGCCATTGTGTGTGATTAAAACTACACACTGTACATGGTTTTTAAGTTTTTCCTTTTGCAGGCGATTTTTGCGTTTTTTATTAATTTTTCCTTAATTTTTTCTCGGCTAACACACCCACTTTTTACACATTGCTGCCCACCCGCACAGCTGTCGCTGGCCTTGTTCTTTTTTTTCAGCAGCACTGTCTGCGTCTCTCAGCTGTTCAATATTGAGCACAAATAGAATGGAATTGTTTCAGATTTCCTTTATAAGCGGCAAACAAAGAAATATAATCATACCTTAATTTTAAGCACTATATAGATTTTTTATTTCAGTTCATAGGCTGGTAATTTCTCACAATTATAATTTGTAATATTGTGACGTCACTCTATTACTCGTTATATGCATACATGCTCGCCTTGGCGATAGGTACAACCTTCGCTTACTATATACACTGTTGCTCATATAAATAATTCTCCTAATTATTTGGCTTAATAAAATTGTGCTCTTTATAATCGTAATAATTTTTTGCACATAAATTTATGTTTAGGATAAAGCGAAACAAGGGCTAGATTATTTTTGTTTTTATTTGTACAGATATACCGCTTGTTGCTTTAATATACATGCATTCTCATGTGCCCAGTGTGACCTTACTTTATAACTTATCTTATCGTTGTATTTGAAATGATTTCCTGTTATTTACTTGCAGATATCCAGCACAGGTTTTTGTTGGCGATACTTATTGTTACTTTGCCGGCATGTCCTTCGCTGTTGTTGGCATTTTGGGTCATTTTAGCAAAACGCTTTTGCTCTTCTTTCTGCCGCAGATACTCAATTTTTTGTACTCAACCCCGCAGCTGTTTCACTTTGTGCCCTGCCCGCGGCATCGACTGCCCAAATATGATGCCAAAACCGATTTGTTGCACATCAGCACAACGGAATTTCGATTGAACGAACTGGGTAGCCTGGGTCGATTGATGGCTAAAGTTCTTCGCACTTTCCATCTGATTAGCTGGCAGGAGCAGCCCGATGGACGTGTGATCACCAACAATTTCACGCTTATCAACTTTGTGTTGTTTATCTTTGGACCGGTGCATGAACGGATTGCCACTCAAATGTTGATGTCCTTCCAGTTGTTGTGCACCTTATTGGCCTTCTTCATACGCTATCCGCTGGCCAACTATTTCTACACGCTGGAAACATAGCAAGCGTTCGCCTAGCATACATGTCTAGATATATAAATTTAACATAGTTTATGTAAATATAGAACACAGTTCCCAAAACTAACTTAAGTACGATATATTTATTACATACAAGGCGAAGTAATAAATAAAATAAAATTATATTATGAGCGTTTCAGAGGGGTCTGATGAAACCGAACTCTCCTTTCCCGAAGAGGAAGATGAGGGACCAAATATTGGAGTAGGTCAACTGGGCTTTTTCGTCTCTCCAGCTCACTGTTTCCATCTGTTCTATCCTCATTCATCTATAGAAATACATAGGTGGACGCAATGCAGCTGGACAGCGTCATGGACGTGGCTGGGCTATTTTACCCAATGGCGATCAGTACGATGGCAATTATCGCAAGGGACGACGTCATGGCATCGGTCTATATGTCTTTAAGAATGGTGCTCGATACTATGGCCAGTATCGTTGTGGCGTTCGCTGTGGCCGCGGCATATTCATTTATCCAGATGGCTCCGTCTACGAGGGCAATTGGCGCAGGAATCTGAAGCATGGCAAGGGTCGTTATAATTATGCTATTGGAGACACTTACTCGGGCGATTGGTATAAAGGCTATCGCCATGGTGTTGGTATCTATAGCTTTAAGACCGAAAAGGACAACTGCTGCATGACGGTACGCCTTAAGTCCACTTGGAACAGCAATGTCCGCATGGGACCCTTTGAGCTGTATATTGGCAATGATGATAAGTGCACTATTCTACACGGTCTCTGGGACAATCTCTATCCCAATGGACCGGCTGTATTCAGCTTTGATAATCGTTACATGTTGCTTGGCTATTTCTTGCCGGGCGATTATAAATTCAAAGTTATTCGCTCATCTGGGGATGTAGAGGAGGACGAATACAACCAGGAGGACGAAATTGGAAATGAAGAGGACCAGCCCGAGGAAATCAAGCCTACATTGTGGTTCGCCCAGGAGATCGCTGTCTACGACTATTCTCTACTGCCTCAAGAGCCGGTGCCATTGCCCATCTCTGACTCTGAGCTTTCGGTGTGCTCGATCACCTCAGAGGTGAGCACATTAAGCCAAGAGAAGTTCAGCTTTTATGGCGAGGGCGAGGAAGCCGAAGACGAAGGCGAGGAGTTCGAAATGGAGTGCTTCCCGTGCGAGTGTGACTATGATCTCAGTGAAGTGGAAACTGAATCCGAGCCATGCAAGATCGATGCCAATCCCTGTGCCATCGAAGTACTCAAACAGCCCGAATGTCCCGAACCCTAGATTGAAACTATTCCCATATTTTTGTTCGTTCAGATTTAAAATATACTGAGTATCCGTGTAAACTATTTGAATGGATATAAACTCCATCATCAAATATATACCAACGTTTGGCATTACAGATACCATAGCAATAGAAATATATTTTAATAGAAATATATTTGTGTATAATTTTGTATGGTTGCTTTATTTACCATTTCACGAATTCAATAAAATTTGTTTTTCATCTTGTTTAAAAATACGTCTGCATATATTTAAGTAGATTTAATGTGCTCTCTATAAATAAATCGCTTCATATGTTATTGATGAAATCACAAATGGGGGCTTTCCAAGTATTATTGACATTATTGATGATACCTTCGACACGAGACACATTATATATATATAATTTTTTTTCTTCTAATTTTTACTATTATTTAAATCGTATGACTTGTGTTTTTTTTTTTGTTTTTTTTTTTTTTTAAGTGGTTTTACTCCATTTCTTTTCAGCATTTGAATTCTTTAAGTTGCACTAATTAATTCTACACGCAATTATTGTTTGATGCCTTCTTTAAACACAATTGAAACATTAATAATAATAACACTTCAGTTAAATGTGTTTTCAGTGGCCAATCATTTTGTTTTCGCTTTTTAAATAATATATTTTAAAATTAATAAAATCTCTAAGTGGTAGCAGGGGTAGCATTTGCCGTCTCATAGGATGATGGACAGCAACTGTCTGGGCTGCTGTTGGATTCACATTGTTCCGTCGAGTCTGCCACCTTGCAATCCTTTCTTTGTTCAGTGTTCATCGGATAACGATTTGGAGATAGCGCGCCTTCGTCACAGTCCTCCTCAACGATGTTGAGCTGCTCCTTGGGCAGATGCAACATCGTCAATGTCGTCTCATCGACTGGATTTAGATGAACCATCTGATGTGGCTCTCCGTCTGTGGTGAGTAGCTCGTGCAGTGTACTACCGTCTCGCTGTTTGGACACCTTATAAATAGCAGGACACGATTTGGAATTCTTAACATCACTCGCATCCTTCAGTTCACCCATCTCCACATTACTAATGCTATTCTCCTCCATAAGCTGCGCATTCTGATTGTTATCCTCAACACTGCAAGCAGCTAAAGCCAGCGCCATGGCAGCTGCCTGACTGCTGCTCGAGCCCTCTGGATAAACATTTAATTGCGATTTGCTAAAGAGCAACAGATGCGGATCCATTTTGAAGTCGTGCAATTCAAGCTTCTTCTGATCCAGATTCTCATCAATATAGTTGATGTGTATTGGCGAGGTTTGCAAATTTAGCGCGGTGCTCTGGAACAGTTCGTCATCTGGCGGCGTATAGTAGACAGAAGCCTTACTAGCCGAATTGTTAGCGGCCTTCAGCGATTTGATTTTCTGTATGTGGAGCTCCTTCTCCATTTGGCTCTTGAAGTAACAGTCTATGTCTGCAATTAAATAAATATGAATTATATGTTTCTTATCATAAATATAAATATGTATAATATTTACCCTCGACAATGTCTTCCTCACAGCGTCCGCGACAGTTCTCAAAATAAAAGCTAGGCAAGTTTTCCAATACCTTGTTCAATGACTGCTGCTGGTACTTGTAGCCCTCACGTAGTCGCAATACCTGATGGGCACTGAACTTACGTATCTTATTGCGCTGGAAGACATAGTTCTCGCGCACCCAACTCAATTGGCCAGTAGAATAGTCGCGCACCTTCTTCACCTGATCGTAATATTGATCTTTTAGCGCTGTCAAATGATTGGAACCCATGTCTCTGAACTCCTTGACATGCTTGGCCTGTGTTGTATAGCTGCTCTGTATCCATTCCACTTGTAGTGCGCAATTCTCCCGTATGCGATGCACTTGCTGTGCATAATTCTCACGCAAACGCTCCAATTGCTGGCTCTTGTAGTTTTCGATGCTATCCAGCATGGCATAAATTTGCCGTGATCTTGGTGACCTTTTATTACGATTCGCACAGCAGGTCAAACGCTCACAGAGCCCACAGCGCTGTAGGCAGCTGCGCAAGCCTTGTACCAAAAGGGTTAGCAACAGAAATGCCGTGGCAAGTAAAGTACCCGCCAGAAGGCTTTCGATTTTGACGCGATAAAATACAATCGGATCGATGTAGAGCCTGTGAAATGATATATGAATACAATTGAGCAATCTGATACGATGCGGTATATAGATTTATACTACCTAATGCCAGCCGATGAATTCCCCATCACATTAAAGGCGTAGCAGGTGTATAGGCCACTATCACCACGCGATATATTGTGCACGAGCAGCGAGCCGTTCTCAATGAGCACCACGCGCTGACCCACAATCGTTTTCTGTCGGCTGATGTTTATGTGCAGCGATTTGGTGTTGCTGTCATCCGTCAGGGCAAACAGTTCAAACTTACTAGGCTGATGGTCTTTGTCGCTGTTGATGATGGTGGGTCGTTTGTCGGGATCGGCATGATGCCGTAGAATCTTGTGGCGTGGTGTCACCTGCAAACAGCAAACGAATTTTGGTGATTAACAAATGTTCACTATTATCATTATTCAAGTACGCGTTACCCAAATAATATCTGGTGTTGGACTGCCATAAACCATGCACTCTAGCTTGGCTGTGGCATGCAGCCTGTACATCTTGGGCTCTGAAGATTGCACCACAACTGGTATGGTACAATTGAGATTGCTTAACACGCGCAGCATGTCGCCGGGATAACCGTATTGACATTTGAGTGCATCGATCTGGTTATCAATATGCTCATAAGAGTCCAGGCTGCGAGTGGCATTTTGTGTTGCCCGTCGCAGAGAGGTCGTCGCATTTGTTAACCAGCTGGACAGCCAGTACATGCTGCAGTCACATTGATATTCATTGCCCAAGATGTTCAAATAGTGCAAATGGCTTAACTCCTTGAGGGCCTCGGGCAGTGAGCCCAACCGATTGCCACGTACGCTCAGCCGCTGCAGACGCGACAGGCTGGCAATCTGTGGGGGCAACTTGGTTAGACTATTATCGGCTAGCAGCAGCTCGCGCAGATTGCGCACGTTGCCAAACAATGTGGCTGGCAGCTGAGTGAGCTGCAGATTCTGTTGCATCGATAGGTAGCGCAGGCGTTGCAGTATTTGCCCATCTACATAGTCCTCGTCTCGCGAAATCCAATTGGGCAGCTCCTCGAGCGGCGTCTCATCGATGCGCAGCAACACCAATTTGCGCTGCGCCTGAAAAAGTCCGTCAGGCAATTGTTTGAACTGATTCCGGCTCAAGTCCAGTTGCTGCAATGAGCCAAGTGGCTGGAATATGATGGAGGACAGTACTGTTAGTTCATTGCCAGATATATTAAGAGTCACCAGATGTTCCAGGGACTCGAAAGCCTTGCGATCGATGCTTCCCAGCTCATTCTGTGACAGATCCAGATGGCGCAGCTGACGCAGATTATATAGGCTGTGCTTGCCTATGGCCTTCAATTGGTTTCTCTGCAGCAGGAGCGCACGCAACTGATTATTGAGTGCAAAGAAGTTGTCCGGAAATGAGAGCAAACGATTGTCGCTGAGATCCAAGTGCCGCAGTTCACGCGCCGTCTGGAAGAGCTGGAAGGGCAAAACGGTCAACTGGTTGCCTGAGAGATGCAACGACTCCAGCTGCAGTGCACCCTCGAATGTGTTGCGTGGCAGCTCGAACAGTCGATTATAGCTAAGATTCAGCAGTCGGAGCTCGCTTAGGTGCTGCACGAACTGCACGGGTAAAGCGTGCAGTCCATTGCGATCCAAGTGCAGCTCCAACAGATGATTCATATGCTGCAGTTCACTCAGACTGCAATTGTCGGCCAAGCGATTCCCACTCAGCTTAAGTACTTGAAGACGTCGCATCGCCTGCGGCTGCGCCCAATGAATGCAGCTCAGCAAATTCTCACTAAAGTCCAGTGATTCAACCGATTCGAAGCGTTGCACATACTGCGCAACCAGCCGTTGCAGTGTTTCATCGTGTAATGAGCTAAACGTCCATTTAAATTTCTGTATACTCTCATATTGTTGCAATTTCAGCGGCACTGCGTCAGCGTGGCCCGGTACATGCATCAGCGATATCTGTTCATAGTTCATCTGGCTATTGAGCTGCAGCTGGGCATTGATTTCAGCTACGCTGACATTTTGACAGCGCAGCTTTACGATGCTGTTGGCGGGATCACCCTCTTCAGAACTCTCCTGCTCTGCGTCCTCCTGTTGAACATATAATGTCTGGGCACTATTATCCAATAGCCAGGCATCATCGAGGCCATAGCCATCGTCCATATCCAAGTCCACAGCATGACCGACAAATGGTAAATGGAACTTGTAGCCCAGCAGCGAGAACTCATGCTCCTGCCACGTTCGTATCGGCACCAACTGCTCCACTCCCTTTACTGCTCTTCCCGGCGACTGCAGTGTTGTGTTCCTTGAACTGTAGACGGTGCTGCAACCAGGCCTATGGTTTGACCTATCGACTGTGACAGCGGCCACGGTGACCGCATTGTAAGCAATCAACGCAGCCAATATCAAGGATTTGTTGGATATTGTTTCCATTTTTCCGTGTACAATCTCAAAAACTTATATGGCATTATATGTGTATCATCGTTCGATCGCATAGTACATCTGTGAATACAAAAATCAGGTAGCTTTATTTGAGCGCTATTTATAGCTACATTTAAAATTAGTTTACTTAACAAACCATGTAATTACCGTGAAGTCGACTGGAATGAGTTACAACTTTTGTACATTTTTTTTAGACTTGCAGGAAAGTTGGAAAGGAAAAGCTTTTACTTTGGCCTGGAGGGGGGATAATGAATTTTTCAAAACAAAACAAAAATAATGCACTAACCATTATCTAAGTCATAAAACCTTGCTGTTTAAAGAGCAATTAAAACTGTCTAGAGGTAAACAGTGTTTAGAAGACATAAAAATTCTTTTTTTTATTGCTCTTATGCGTTTTTGAATGGGAAAAATATTTTGAAAATAAATTAATTAATACAAAAGGTAAATATATACATCGGAATCAACTTGAGCTGACTAAAAAATATTTTATAAACTTTTGTATTAACAGATTTTACGTGGCTTTCGCGGCAAGCGAATTTGAAGGGAAATTGTTTTATAAAATGATTCTATTGAAAACCTAAATAATTAATATAATTTCACGATATTTACGAATAAACATTTGTTAACTAGAAATATATACGTATATTTATATCTATATATGTATAAGTATATATAAGTATATATGTACATATATGCATTTGCATTTACACCTGTGAGTATGGGATATACATACACATATAGAAAAACAGTAACTAATGCGCAACGCATGCGAAAAAAAAAAATGACAAAAAAGATAATAATTAGCGTAAGCAAAAACCAATTTTAATGCTCGTGGCTATGTGTGCTTTTATATGCACAGCAGATAAAAACTACCTTTTTTTTAATTGCTTATGCTTGAGGCCATTTAAATCGTTTAGATCAAACGCTCTGAAAATATTACAACGCACCCACAGAGTACTAAGTTACTTTTTAAGTGGCATTTGTCACAATATACATACATTCATAGATATAAATCTTCATTAAAAGGTTGCATTTATTCTCTAGCTAGTAGAGCTTAGTTTGAGACGAACTTATGTAATAAAGAGTTGAGAAAATTCGTCTACCTATGTATGTATGCACATGTGTAAATATGTAAAACGAGCTCAAAGAGTGCAATAAACAACCGTATAAGAGATAATTTGTATGGGTATATTTATATTACCCGTTATGTACAAACACATACACATGTATTTTAACAATATGAATAGATGCCTTATTTTCTATCTGTGTGTGTGTGTATATATATATTTATTTTGTATATAATGACGTCCAAAAAGCCGCTAATGAACAAGTTGACAAATAAGATATATGTATGTGTTTGTATTGGCACGCACACCAAGGTGAAGCAAGACACGTTAATGACGCCAGGTGAAATGGAAAAACCATTCACAAAATTAAGCCTGCAATTTCATTTGTAGCAGAAGGTACTTTTACATTTCCATAAAGTTCTTCTGACTACATTATACTGTTTGTTGTTTTTTTTCTTCTAGTATTGTATCGACCCAGCTGTACAAAGCTACAGCAGCTGGAGTCGAGGAGTGTGACTTAGTGTATATATGTATGTACATACAAATGTACATGTATGTATATACACACAGTCGAGCATGAATGTGTTTCGTTGCTGTTTTATTTTTTTTCATTTTTCACCATTTTGTGGCAATAATCAAACAAACACAAGCATAAAACACATATGTTTGAAAAATGTATAAATATTTATGTGCCAATAGATTGCATTACACTTTACAAAAAAATTACACTTTATTAAAAGCACTCACTGCTGCTTAACGCATTTAAAAAAAGGTTGTATCTCCAATAGTTCCGACGCAGCAATTGATGTTTGCTTTAAGAGGATTTTACGATGTGTGTGTGGTGCTGCTGTTAAATAGCAAATTTATGTTATTCAATTGGTTTTTCTATTCTGTTATTTTGTTGACAAGTTACAAACTTTTGTACTTTTTATTATTTAAAAGTTTTACATCGTTTATGATTAATTATTTTTATTAGATATTTATAATTTTTTTTTTTCATATATTTCGAGATGTAAATTATATTTATTTTTTAGCTGTTAACACGCTGTTATACTTAAAAATACTCAATATAGTGATTCTCCATCCCTGCTTAGTAATCGATAAAATGTGATGCAGATTTATACCACTAGTTAGTTTTTATACCACCAGTGCTTATACTAAATTTAAATACCATAAATACTACTATTTCTATTTTTGTAAGTATTTTTTTATTATGTATTTATATTTCATTTACATCCTTAATTAATATGGGTGTCGATAGGCATTTAATTGTGGCGCCAAAGAACGGATTTCGAATTGTAAAATTACTTCGAAAATAAATGGGCGAATTGCATAGTTTGCTTTTCCCTTAGTTTAATTCGGAATATTGTCTTATAGGTATGGCGTAAATTAGCTCCAAATATATGTGCGTGTCGCAAAATAGCATTACCATCTATGCAAATATACGCAATCGGTTTGTATAGCTGTATCAGCAAGCCGTCTAAATAAGCTGTTTTATTTATTGCACCTATTTAAGAACGATTATTGTTTTTAGCAAAACAGCTGGGTAAATCTATGTGGTCCAAGCCATCAGGGTTAACAATCTTAAAAATGATATATAATGAATTGATGTAGATGCAATAAATATGATGTGAGCTAAGAGAAGAAATCCCCTGCAGCCTTAAATACTTTGGGACAATGTTTCGCTGCCAACTGCATATAAGCTGATTTTGAATCAGTCTTCAAAGGCCATTTCGCGGAGAATCGATTCCATATATGAATTATACGAGAATTCTTAATTCGTTCCAGCATTTCACTCGCCAGGTTTTGGTCAAGAAGCAGTTCCGATTGCTTCAATGGCACTTCGTAAAATTCGCTCACGTTGAACACTCTGAAGCCTTTACAACGTTTCGGATCTCTAACCATAAGAGTAACATTTCTTGTGCTGCAAACCTCTTGCAAAACCCGCAGCAAGAACTTGTGTTCAGTTGAGTCGAATGAATCTCTCACCAAGTTCTTGCGAAAATCCTGCAAAAGCCACTCTGCAAGCTGATGTCCAAAGCCCTTTGGCTCCAGGCCCAAAATACTGTTACTAATGCTCTGATTTCCCATTGAGCACGCATAGTTCAGGTGCAAATCCTCAAAAGTGCGCAGCAGCATTACATCCATATCCAAATAGATACCTCCATAACGATAGAGCGTTAGCAGACGCAGTAGATCGGATAAGTGATGCATCAGAAAACTAAGTAGAATATAAATACATATATACATATATAAGATGTAAATATTTTATATAATTTTCTCTAACCTTGACCGATAAAAATCATTTAACTTGAGCCAGTCCGTAATGGGCGTATCTAGTATATAAGTCCCAATATTTAGCTCTCGAAACTTGATATTTTTATAGCTCAATAATGCATCAATAATATGTGCCGGTTTCTCCAGATATGTACGACAAGCAAACAGTACAAAAACCTGAAAATTTTGATTATGCAAGGCAGCCGATTCAATGGCGCAAGCTTGATGTGCCCTCATTTCTTGAATATTATAAGGAATATCTAAATATTGGCTACTTGCTGAGAAAAAAATGGTCTTTCCGGGCGAAGGCTTTGAGCTGCATAACAAGATATCCTCTATTAGAGCATGAGCTATATTATTGGGTGCCGAATTTTTAGTTTTGGAGCTGAGGCTAGATGTTAAATTTGCAAATTTGTGTTGTGATTGTGTTATGTTAAATTTTGATTCTGGAATCTTCCGCTTATTGAAATGTAAGTTTTGATGAGTTTTATTTAATGACTTAGCATGCTTGTTGCCCTGAGCACTGGGTGAAAGCATATCCATAATTATTTTCTCAATTTTAACTGTAAAGTTATGTACTGGTAAATTCGTAATATTAGATCTGAGCACTTTTCGGATGTGATCTTTGTTGAAAATACTGAACGATGAAATATTCTTAAAGATATTTTCAATTTTTTGTGTTAGGTTCTGATGTTGTTTCACTGTAGGTGTTCGAATAATATTTGATGATCCATTGGCGTTATGCTTAGTTAAATTTTGGTGATCTTCGTTGAAGAATTTTGCCCGCATATTCTCTTTAGTAGTCGATGATAACATTTCTTTAAATATTTTATCATCGTGAAATATAAAATTTTGGGGCTGTAACTTTGAGCCATTTAAATTAATCATTTTGGATTCATTTGGCTTCTTCTCATCCCTAGTTAAATTCTGATTTGGAGAAAACAACTTTGGATTATGTAAATGAATTATGGTAGAATCATTTTTAGTTTTTTCATTCGTAAAGAAATTATGAGCTAGGGGCTGCAATTTTGAAGAATTCTTTCCATTCATATTTAAAGTCTGACTTAAGTGTATAATATTAGATTGTTGAAGGTTCTTATCATTCATAATATTATGATGATTTGTCCCTTGGGGCTTCGAGTTAATATGCTTAGCAAAAACTTTTGGATTTGAGCTATAAAGTTGTGCTTTAAAATTCTTTAAGCTAATCGTATTGGTTGCATTTGATGGTTTATGGGTATTGGATAATAGAACTGCTTGCATTTGTTCAGGCGCCTTTTCCTGCTTTAAGTTGTGCGTAGATCCGACAACATTTTGATGATTAGTAGTCGCATATCTGTTATGAGCTGATGACCCATTTAAGCTATGTAAATGAATATTCTCATGAATTTGAGGTGAATATTTCTTAGTAAATGTTTGCGCTTTCGTTACGGGATCCGCATTATTATATCCTTTAAGGGATTTCACCTGAGTTCCATTGTGAGGTAGTATCTTCTGCATCTCCATATTAGAAGGTTTTGTACATGTGTTTGTTATATTTGCCGTTTTTAAAGGAATTTCGCAATGGGATTTGTTAAAGTTTAGACCTTTACTGTTATTTACTTTCCATCTGTCAGTACACTTGACATGATCCATTTGATTTGCTGTTTCCTTTTTAGAGAACGGATTGAAGGACACCATCATGAAAACGATGCCAATAATTAGAGCTACAAAGAGTAGGCGACGTGCCCAGATCAGGCACGGCGTCACCATCTTTCTTTGAAACATTACAGTCCTGAACGAAGGTAAAAGTGAGACTAAAAATGTTTTGAATTGTCAAGGGGATATTAAAATTCAATGTCAATGAAAATGCTCATGTCAGCTTATTCAGCTGCATTTACCTAAGTATATATCGACTTTTGCTCTGTTCTATTTCTAGACGATACAAATGTGTGTGCAAAATATTAACGAAACTTTAGACAATCACAATGCTATACAATATTTTTATAATATACATTTTCAAATTCAATATCTAAAGTATCTTAGAAAACAGTAGGTATCAGATCTCTAGATGTAACATTATTTAAAATATGTTTAACGATAACAAAATCAGATGAGCTTTCGACAAAATATGATGAATTGGACTTTCTACGGGTGGACTGGCGGACATCAACCTGGTTAGAACATGTATACATATTCTTTATATATGTATATACATATATATGTATATACATACATTTTCACAAAAATATTTTATAGTTCAAAATATATTTATAAGCATACGATCGTCACTATGTAGAACACTGCCAGGCTGCCTGGGCTTCGTGTTTACAAAATCAATATTTGTTCACCTTTTTTTGGTTAAAAAAATATGAAACTGGTTAAAAAAAATAAATTTTAGTGCGTTTTATGTATATTGTTGAAATTGCTTGAGCATTATAGGCAACGTATTTACTATTTGACACACA